TCTCCGTCACCCTGTTCAAGAGGAAGCCGAGACCCTTAAACCCCAAACCCTAAATCCCTAAACCCTAAATGCCAGACCTCGGTTCCCTTCGCCATAACCTCCAGAAACTGCTTGAGGGTACAGGCTTATTCAAGCAACTTCGGATTGATAGAACTATATCCCCCTTGGGAATTATTTTACATTTTTGTTCAGAAAAACTATTTGAAACTGTGATTCTTATTATGGTTCTAAGGGGAGTATAGAGTCTTTCTAGCCTCTTTACTGCCAGGCTTTGGCCAGTTGCGTTTGATGTTCAGGTGTTGGTTTTCGGGGAACCCTAAACCCTAAACTCTAAACCTAAACCCTAAACCCTAAACCCAAACCCTAAAAACCTAAAACCCTAAAACCCTAAAACCCTAAAACCCTAAAACCCTAAACTCTAAACCCTAACCCCCAAAAACCAGCTGACATTCCTAGGACCAGGAGCAGGCCCTTTTTTCCCTTTTTAGGGTTGGGGTTCCCTTATAATCCCTTAAAACCAAACAGGGTACCCGTTTTATTCCTAGGTCCTAGGTTACTCCCGGGTCCAGATTCTGGGCTTCATGGCAGGTCCGCACCCTGGCGCGCGGAACAACTTCTCGCTGGTTCCTGCCTTGGGTGGCTGCCTCGTGACCGTCACGCACGGCGGCTTGGTTGAGGGTTGAGGGTTTAGGGTTCAGGGTTTAGAAGGCTGCAAACGCTGAGAATTAAGCAATTTGCACCCTTCAATCTTCAACCCCTTCTAAGCCCTTCATAGCGCAACCCAGAAGACGTTCAGGAGACCCCTGCCAATCCCTAAACCCTAAACCCTAAGCCCCAAACCCTAAACCTTAAACCCTAAACCCTAAACCCTAAAGGCTAAAAGTCACAGCAAAGCCAGGCTACCTCAACGCGCGGTGGTTCGCAGAACATGGCAGCCACCTCAAGAAAGCCTGGCCACCCAGCTGCGATTTCTTCTCGGGTTTAGGGTTTGTAGGCTAGGTAGGCCCTTGGACTGGAATATTTACATCTTCCCCCATTGCGCTTGAGATGTTTAGGGTTTAGGGTTTAGGGTTTAGGGTTTAGGGTTTAGGACAATTCTCAGAGCGATTAAAGGGTCAACCTAGTGGGGTTTAGGGTTCAGAGCGTACTTGCCAGCCCATGTCTTTCCAATTCGTGGGCTGACCCTGAAAACCTAACACACCTGCAAATCGCTTGTTCTGTAAGCCAAGGTCCTTTTTTTTTTTTTTGGGGGGGGGGGGGGGGGGGGGGCTCCTTCTTAAAAGGTGCCGTACTAAAGGTGGTCGGAGAGTGTTGTGGAAACAGATAGTATGAAGATGCACATCAGTCGGACCCCTGAAGAGTTAGTGAGTTTAGGCTTTAGAGTTTAGGGTTTAGGGTTTCCCAAACCGTCCAAAATCCTCACTGAGCCCATAGCCCCTTCAACGAGAGTGTTTGTTTGGGCGCTCCATGGTCAACCGCAGACAACGCCATGCTCCGAGCCGCCCCAAGTTAAACCCTAAACTTGGGATGTTCCCCCTTATACTAACCGTCCTTAATAGGGATTCTAATAGAGGGTACTTTAATTCCTATGACCTATGAAGGACTGTTAGTATAAGGGGAACATCTCAACCCTAAACCCTAACCACCCGCCCTCCCAACAAAAACAACTACATAAAGACAAAAGTAAAATCAAATCAAGATCGCCACTTTAACTTCTAACCCTCAAGCCCTCCCGACTCTGCAACCCCCCTGCAGCCATAATCCCTTAAAAGGCCATTTATAGGGTTTATGGGGATTATAAGGCCTACTAGCCCGTCCTGGTGCACAATGAAAGCCCTCGGCCCCAAATCTCTGATCCCTAAACCCCCCCGAAAAGCCTGAACCCCTAACTCAAAAGCCCGAAAATCCGAAACCCTCAAGTGAAAACCCTGAACCCTAGACCCCAAGCGCTCCCCAAACGCTAAACCCCAATTCCTAGACCCTAAACCCGAAGAAGCCCTAACCCTATAAGGCTGCGGGATCCTCGTTTTTTGGTCGGGATCCTGCTCTACGCCTCGGGCTTTGCAAGCCTGGTCTACCATGACTACCTGACGCTCGGGCTTGCGTGGGAGGGCTTCAGGGGGCTCAGGGTTTAGGGTTTAGGGCTAGGGCTTAGGGTTTAGGCTTTAGGCTTTAGGCTTTAGGCTTTAGGCTTTAGGCTTTAGGCTTTAGGGTTTAGAGTTTAGAGTTTAGGGTTTTTAGGGTTTAGGGTTTAGGGTTTCGGCCTTTTGAGATTCAGGGGCTTAGGAGTTAGGACTTAAGGGTATCCCCAAGGCCCTCGGGACATTTCTCCAGGGCTTTCAGAGACCCAGAACAGAAGGGTTTTCGAGCTTAAACAAAAATATTACCACACCTGTACTCAGCCAACAGTGAGCCTAAGTTCTAGCCCACGCTATATAGTAGGTCCCAGGGTAGATAGATTTAGGATTTGGGTTCAGACCCTCAAGCTTGGATCAGCCTAAACCCTACGCCCTAAACCCATACGTGAACTAAACCCTTAACCCTAAACCCTAAACCCTAAACCCTAAACCCTAAACCCTAAACCCTACACCCTACACCCTAAACCCTAAACCCTAAACCCTAAACCCTAAACCCTAAAACCCTAAAACCCTATAACCCTATAAACCCTAAACCCTAAACCCAAGGATGCGCGAGCTGCGGTCCACTCCGGGTCCGCGCTACCGCATCCCCCACGGGGGCCTTTTCGAGTATGCGACCCAAGCGCTGCATCGCAGCTGAAGCGGGGTTCAGGGTTTAGGGTTTAGGGTTTAGTGTTTGGAGTTGGGGTTTAGGGTCCAGAGTTTAGGTTTCAGGTTTGGAGTTTAATTCAGGCTTACCCTAGTAGTTATCATGGACGCTGATGGTGGTTGTAACTGGGACTTTGACTGGGGAGCAGAAGCTAGTCATAAGCCGCTCATGAGTATAGGGTTTATAGGGTTTAGGGTTTAGGGTTTAGGGTTTAGGGTTTAGGGTGCTGCATTTGAAAGCGCTGCACACAAACAATTTATAGTTTGGGGTTGCCTTGACACCTCAAGCCCCTCAGCTCTCCGACTTCTGGTGATGCGGAAACATGTTTTCTTTATGGGTAGTTACAGCTAGATTCAGTGGAGGGGTTTTCTTCGGGCCTCTAAATCCGAAACCCTAAACCCTAAACCCAAAAGCCTAGGCACTACAGCATGTCTCGGAGGTATAGCCTAATAAACCCTAAACCCTAAACCCCAAACCCTAAACCCTAAACCCTAAACCCTAAATCCTGCATGTCTCGGAGGTATTTCTGTGAGCTATGGACGTGGCTCGGCTTCTTTCTCATCAGTTGGGGCCCCAATGGCCTGTTCATCCTCTGCGTCTCTCTGGCCAACCTGGTCGCCTGCTGGCAGTTCGAATTTGTAAATAAGGGTTTATGGGTTTAGGGTTAAGGGTTTACAAGGGCTTAGGGATGTTTAAGGTTTAAGGTTTAGGGTATTGAGGGCCTTCGTAGTTTAGGATTCGGGGTTTGGGCATTCGCCATCCCACCCGCCACATCTGAGCAATCATTTCGGCAGCTTCAGTCGCATGACACCATGGCGCGTGTGATTGCGTGCCAGCCCCCGACCCAATGACCTGAGACCCGAGAGGGCGCCGGCAAGACTTGAATAGGATTATTGGTTTTTGTTTGGGTTACTGGGGTTGTTGGGGCCATTTGGGGTTGTTGGGGTTGTTGGGTATGAGGCGTTGTTGTTGGGGCCTCGCATTTAATTGCTGCCAGGTCCCTCGATCCGTGGCCACGCATCACTGGTACCTCCAACATTTCGGCAGCGAGTACAGCCAATTGGGCCGCAGCTACCTGGTACCCTTTGTTTGGTGATGCTGAGTGGCCGCGCGCACATTGGACATGTGCTGTGTGGATTGAACATGTCTTGAAGCTCTGAGTTTTATGCCATCTGAAGCTGAATCCGCAAGTCCTAAGCCGCACAGATGGGTTTAGGGTTTTTAGTGTTTGGTTTAGGGTTTAGAGTTTAGGGTTTCGGTTTAAGAGTTTCCGGCAAGGTTCAGGTCTGGGGCAAAGGAAGCAAGAGCCAGAGGAATCGATTCGTCCAGAAAAAGAAGCCGTGCGAGTCTCTTTGGCTGAGGGCGCAGGGTCTTATCCTAAACCCTAAGCCCTGCCTAAACCGCCAAAGTATGAAACATATTGACCCTTTTTATGGGTTTTGGGCTATTGTTTTTTTAAACATACTTTGGGGGGTGCCCGGTAAGTCCTAAACCTTAAACCCTCCCAAGGCCGAAATTCCAAGCGCCCAAAAAAATCATGCTGCAATTCCCTACCCAGACCATATTCTTTTTCGTACCAGGCTCTACAAGGAGGCCCCCTTACTCTTCTAACTGTAGTTAAGGGACTTATAACCTAATTTAGGATCCTTATAACCCAATTTAGGGCTCTTGTAAGTCTACTTATAACTAGGGGGCCCCACCTTGTATGCTTCGTATTGCATCATGTGCACAATGAAAGGGGACTAGTGCTGGGGTCGGGGGGGAATCTAGGTACATCATAATCTCTGCACCTAGAGCACATCTGTCCGAGATTGGGGTTTATGGTTTCAGGTCCGGCAGGGTTTGGGGATCCATCTTTGTAAGTAGTGGGTCGACTCTGTCTTTCGGAGGGCGGGGGGGGGGGGGGGAGTAGCCCGCGATGTGTCAAGCGTGTGCAGTACAAAAGGTTTGGCATTGCTGGAACCACTCCTGATTTCTTTGTCATCACAACAACTAGAACACACCGGGCTTGGGATTTTGGGTTCAGGGTTTAGGGTCTGGGAATAAACTTTGAGAGACTTAAGCATTCTTGGAGGTTAGGGCTCTTTGGCTCAGTGGATAGTGGGGGGGGGGGGTTGGTTTTTTCAAGGTTTTTGACCCCTAAACCCTACACCCTAAACCCTAAACCCTAAACCCTATAAACCTCTAAAACCCAAACCCCAAACCCCAGCCAGGCAAAGACCTGCCAATCGACGACCTGGCATCCACTGACGCAGCGTCGAGCGGCTCCGTAACGACGGCCCTTCCCTCGGCTTCGGGGTCCGAGTCTCCGGTAGGGTTTAGGGTTTAGGGTTTAGGGTTTAGGGTTTAGGGTTTAGGGTTTAGGGTTTAGGGTTTAGGGTTTAGGTTTAGGGTTTAGGGTTTAGGGTTTAGGGTTTAGGGTTTAGGGTTTGTTGTGTGTGTGTGTGGGCAGGACCTCACCAACCAGGTTGGAACCAACCGCAAGCGGAGGGCTTGATCTGCCCCCACCCGAAGCCCCAAGTTATTTTCAACTTCCAAACCCCAAACCCTAAACCCCGAACCCTAAACCCTAAACCCTAAACCCGGAACCCTAAACCCTAAACCCCAAAACCCTAAACCCCCGCCCCTCCCCCAAAAGCCTTCAGTCCAGTGAATTCCCTGGTCGCCACACTGAGGGCTTCAGCCCTAGAAGCACCACAAGCCCTGTAAGCTCTAAGGGTAGTTTGTCTAGGGTTTAGGGTTTAGGGTTTAGGCAGGGCTTAGGGCTTAGGGGTTAGGGCTGAGGGCTGAGGGCTTAGGGCTTAGGGCTTAGGATGGACGCTTAGTATGGTCCCTTACCTCCTTTCAAGGTTTTGACGTAAGGGCTCTTAAGTTGTATAGAGTATATAAGGGGTATATAAGGGGTACCCCTTTAAGGGCCCGTACTAAGGGACCGTGTAACTACCCCTAAATAAGCCCCAAAAAGCCTGTAAAGCAAACCCCCTAAAGCGCGCCAAGCCCATAAACCTCAAAAAGCCGATTCTCATGGGGGTTGAGTAATAACTTGGGGCTTCGGGTGGGAGCAGATCCCTAGACCCCAGACCCGAAGCCCTAAACCCGAAACCCTTGCGATGCCACTGCCCGAGGGCCACTCCTCGCCTATCGAGCCGCCGCCTTGGATATGGTGGGCTTGGAGTAACCCAGAGTAGGAGCAAATGAGCCTTTTCCCTTAAACCCTGAACCCTAAACCCCTCAAATACCCGGTACTAGCCATGCACCCAAGTAAGGTTATGTGGACCCTCGACCCTAAACCCAACACCCTGTTTCGCGTTCGTTTGGTCCCCAAGGTGTGTTCCCTTTCATCTTTAGGGTTTAGGGTTCAGGGTTTAGGGTTTATGGTTCAGGGTTTAGGGTTCAGGGTTTAGGGTTCAGGGTTTAGGGTTTAGGGTTCAGGGTGTAGGGTTCATAGGGGTTTTCAATTTGCATTCTTGTTGGGTTAGGTTTCTTTATTCGGGCATCCTGGAATTTTCCTCGGCCGCTCTGAAACCCTGAGGCTTTAGGGGTTTCGGGTTTCATTGTTTAGGGTTTCATTGTTTAGGGTTTAGGGTTTAGGGTTTAGGGAAAGTTAAGGCATTGACGCGCGTTGCGCGTCGTACTTTTAGAAGTCAAGCAAGCCTCGACCCCTCAAAGCCCAAAGCCGAAACCCTAAAATCCTAAAACTCCCAAGGCCTAAGCCCAAACCTAAAGGTTTTCTGAGGAATGAAGGGTTTAGTTTCTGATGACAAGGATTCCAAAGCCTCCTTGAGGCTGAGAACCGTAAAGCCGGAAACCCCAAACGGGTTTAGGGTTTAGGGTTTACAGGTTTAGGGTTTAGGGTTTAGGGTTCAGGGTTTAGGGTTTAGGGTAACAGAACCCTTCACAGACAGCTGTATGTTTGCCAACCTCTGAAATACGACTAGGACCCAGAATCGTTTCGTGTTTTTCTCTTGTTGTTTGAAGTTTAGGCATTCTCATGGAAGGGGCTGAGCTGTGGAAGCTGATGAGACGAAAAAGTGGGCTCCCTTGACTCAACTACTTGCGAACCGCGTATACGCAGATGCGAAACACTATGAAGCCCGAAGCCCGAAACCCCAAGCCCTAAACCCTTAGACCTAAGCCCTAAACCCTAGACCGTAAACCCTGAACCCTAAACCCTAGCCCTAAACCCTAAACCCAAACCCTAGACCCTAAACTCTAAACCATCAGAGGCCGGTTTCAAACCGCGCGGTCACCATCAATGATCTTGGCTCGGGCACTCAGCAGCCCCTCAGCCCTAAAACCCCAAACCCCAAACCCTAAACCCCAAACCCTAACCCTAAACCCTAAACCCTACCCCTAAACCCTAAACCCCAAACGCAAAGCCTAAACCCTCAAACCCTAAACCCTGAACCCAGAGCCTCGTTTTCAGGGGCTGGCGGTGGCTTCTGCGTGGCTTTCAGCAGGTTGTATTTGACTGGTACCGCCCGAAATACCAGGGTGTTTCCCCAAAGCTTCCAACGCCTACTTGATTGTAGGCTGTCAATATAGCTATAGAGTCTTGTAAGTTTGTTTGGCAACCTGCAAGAGAACAAGGTTTTTGAGTGCCTATAAGGCAGTTGTTTGTAGGGCTTAACGGCGCGATGACATGGCTGACGCCTGTGTTCCGTCCATGTGCCTTTGTGTGCTAGATTTCCTATACAGCCTTCGTGCCGTGCACAAGGTCTTTCCAGAAGTCGTCACGCTATAGGCTGGTGTCCGGCAGATGAACTCTCTAAGCTGCCCTGAGCAGTCTAGAAGCTACTCTGAACGCTCTGGCCGAATCCCTCGACCCTAAACCCTAACCCCCTAAGCCCTCTGAAACCCTCCCCAAACACTCCGAGGCTATTGTCCACTGATCTTCCTGGGTTTAGGGTTTAGGGTTTAGGGTTTAGGGTTTAGGGTTTAGGGTTTAGGGTTTAGGGTTTAGGGTTTAGGGTTTAGGGTCCATGTACCTAAACAGGCAGTACTTGGGTCCTAAGGTACCTCCTAGGTAGGGACTTTGGGGCTCAAATAGAGAATCATGGGGTGCATGAAGCCTTAGGGCTTAGGGTATGGGGTGTAGGGTTTAGGGTTTAGGGTTTAGGGTTTAGGGTTTAGGGTTTAGGGTTTAGGGTTTAGGGTTTAGGGGTGAGGCCATGATGCGGAAGCTTGAACGTCTTAGCCTCAAGATGAGGTTTTTTGTCCACAAGCTACAGGGGGGGGGTCTGTAGACACCTCATCCTTCCCCAAATGGGTTTAGAGTTCAAGGTTTAGGGTTTAGGGTTTAGGGTTTAGGGTATTTAGGGTCCAAACCTTGATTTCTCAACCCGAAGACCTGAGACCCTGGACCCTGAACCCAAAGCCCTAACCAAACTCTAAGCCCTGTTCTCCGCCAAAGCCCCTCCGCCCCCAACGCCCCCCACCCCCCTCCTCCCTCCACCCCCCCCCCCCCCCCCCCCCAAAAAAAAAAAAAAAGCCAAGAAATAAACATAACAAACAAATGAAACCTGAACTGACGAGTTCTTAGTAGAGAGGCGGGAATGAGGTACCTCACATCCCCGCTAAACTTACCCCAAACCCTTTACCCCTGTGTAATTTTGTTTGGTGAGGGATGATGGGTCGCGACTTGCTCAACTCCCTACTACTAGGACCGGGAGTAGGCCCTGTTTCCCTTTTTTAGGGTTGGGGTTCCCTTATAATCCTCTTAAACCAAAAAGGGTACCCTTTTTCCTCCTAGGTTACTCCCAATCCTACAAGCCAGTAGGCAAAGTGCGCGAGAAATAAACTGAGGCCTTGGTTTTGGACTTACACCGCCGGGCGCCCTGAGCAGATGTCTTGTGATTTTCGCTGCAGGCCTGCGTAGGGTATAGGGTTTAGGGTTTAGGCTTTAGGGTTTAGGGTTTAGGGTTTAGGGTTTAGGGTTTAGGGTTTAGGGTTTAGGGCTTAGGTTTCGGGTTTCGGGTTTAGGGCTTAGGGGCGTCTAGGGGTTGCCTAGGCATCGAAGCTCGATTCAACGGCCTTTTGGGGGGCTTGGAAACGAGGCTCTCTGAGACCTGGGGTTTGGTTCCGAACATGCGAAAACTTAAGCCTCAGTCCTTAAGCCCTAAACCCGAAAGCCTAAACCCTAATTTTACTACACCCTAAGCCCTAAACCCTAAACTCTAAACCCTCAACCCCAAACCCTAAACCCTAAATCATAAACCCTAAACCCTAGACCCTAAACCCTAAACCCGAACCCTGTTTCAACACCCCTCCAGTGCTTACCTGTGGAGTAGCTGTGCTCCTGGGCGTGCTCAGAGCCTGTTTCGGCTGTTTAGGGTTTAGAAGTCTGGGTTTAGGGTTTAGGGTTTAGGGTTTAGGGTTTACGGATTTCAGGGTTTAGGGTTTAGGGGTTTCGGCTTTTGGGGAGTTCTACATGGAAGAGGAGGTCCTGCGCACAGGAGGAGGACCGGCAGCGCATGCGCAGAGCCCCCGGAACCGGCTCGTGTGACAGCGGCCAAGCCGCGGCCAAGCCAGCCAGGACTGCCCCTAAACCCTAAACCCTAAACCCTAAACCCTAAACCCTGAACCCTGAACCCTGAACCCTGAACCCTGAACCCTGAACCCTGAACCCTGAACCCTAAACCCTACCATCGGAATCGTGGGGCAGCCATGGCGGACACTTCTTGCAGAAAGGTGGAGTTACGTTTTGAGGGTCCCCGAGTTAGGGCCCAGGTAAAGGGCGCTGTACATCCTGCATAGGGGTCTCAGACCCTAAAATAAAAGCTTTAGAAGCCTACTTCCCTAAACACCTGAACTCCTAGCCAAGCTCCAAAACGCATCCCTAAGCCCGAAGACCATGACCCCAGGCTCAAAAGCCCAACCGTCTCCACGTATTCAAAGCCCAGGTCCTGCGGGGGCGGTGGGGTAGCGTGGCTTCCGCCGGGCTCCTTAGTTTTTGGTCACCCAAACCCGCCCCAGAACCTAAAACCCCAAACCCTAAACTCCTATAAACCCCAAACATTAAGCTCCATGCCGTCGAGTTGGCGTTTAAAGAGGTCGAATGAGTCTGAAAAGCTCTTAGCACGTGTTTAAGGTTTATAGGCTTTTGGGTTTGGGGTTTAGGGCTGGCTTACCTGAAGGCTCCAATGTAGTTCCTTTTTGGAGATTGTAGTATACTACCCCAAAAAGGTGCTGCATAGGAGCCTTTAGGTAGAGCATTTGGAGGTTTTTTCGGTCGGTTTAGGGTTTTGGGGGTGTAGGGCCCGCGGAAAGCCATCTCCAAGAAAGTGCTTGGCCTGACAGCTTCTTGTGGGTTTAGGGCTTAGGGTTTAGGGTTTAGGGTTTAGGGTTTAGGGTTTAGGGTTTAGGGTTTAGGGTTTAGGGTTACCTGACAGACCCCTGCATCGCACCGATGATGGAAAGGACACCCCCGCCAGCCATAAACCCTAAGCCCAAAACCCAAGTGCCCTAAACCTTCAACCCGAAACCCAAGTGCCCTAAACCTTCAACCCGAAACCCTAAACCTTGGGCAGAGGATCTAGCGAAGTTTTCTGGGGTTTTCTGCGGTTTTCTGCAGTTTTCCAGGGTTTCTTGGGGTTTCTGGGGTTCTGGGGGGGGAGTGGGGGGGGGAGGGGGGGAGGGGGTTGGGGCTCTTGGGGTACAGGTTGTGGGAGGTTGTATCTCTTTGCGGAGGCAGCTTTCCGTTTCCAAGTCTCGGCGAGAGTGCACCCAACAGTCCACCGCCCCCCAAAACCTAAACCTCAGCACCCAAAAAAAGAAGCATGGCCCAGCAAGCCTCATAGAGCCTCTCCACCCCTGTCCTGGTAGAAGTTCAATAGCTCCTTAATCCAACTAAGGGCACCCCTGTCCTGGTAGAAGTTCAATAGCTCCTTAATCCAAATCTAAGGGTAGTTTCACGGGCCCCTAGTATTGTCCCTTACCTTCTTGAAAGGGTTGTGAGGTATGGGCCCTTTGGATTTATAGGGTTTAAAGGTGGTATGGAATCTGAGGGTAATCGGTATGTACGGAGTCCCCTTATAAGGGCCCATACTGAGGGACTCCTAAGATATGAGTAAGGGCCCATATTCAGGGACCACGTAACTACCCTAAGACCAAAGCCCTGTCCATTATAGGGTTCTTAAGGGAGCGAGTTCAAGGGCGGGTATGTAACCCAAGGTTCCCTAGTACTCCCGAAAGTACCTACACCCCCATGAACCTCCCCCCCCTTCAGAACCCTACAAAGTCCAGCATAAGCTGGAACCCTCAGCCACCCGAGCGCCCAATATGCTTGGCTTGAGGCAAAATCCCTGGCACCAGACCTGGTCTGAGCCCCATCGGTTCGAACGTCGGAAACCCTGGGCCTAGGCCCTGAACCCCAAGACCCTCACTCCTAAACCCGAAGCCCTAAACCCAAACCCTGAACCCGTTTGATTCCTCTTTGGCTGGTGAGAGTCAGAGTTCGGTCCTGCACACCTATAAACACCAAAACCTACCCCAAACCCTAAACCGTAAGCTCTAAGGAACCTGGGAAAGAGAGAGAGAGAGAGAGAGAGACAGGGAGAGAGGGGAAGAGAGAGATAGGGCGAGAGAGAGAGAGAGAGAGAAGTAGTGAACGGACCACGTGGCGGGTCTTGGTGGGTAAAGGACTTAGAACTCGAAAAAGAGTCTTGGACAGTCAATAGTGCCCTGTGTCTGAAGTTGAGACTGATTCTGATTTCGGAAACCATGCAGGGCTTAGGGTTTGAAGATTACGTTGGAGGTCTTAGCGTTAAGGTCTGTTCTATGCCGTGCTGGCATGCAATACGGGCCGATCTAGACCTCTAAGCCTGGGTTTTGGAGTAGTCGACGTACTTTAATACTTGTTTTGGTTCTGGGTTCCTAGTATAGCCACTTATACCTAAACGTATATATATATATATATATATGTATATATGTATATATATATATATATATATGTACCAGGGTCAACTCCAAAGTAGGGAAACACCTACAGTAGCTCTACACTCCTGGGCTCTGGTCTTGAGGCATTCGGACATCTTTAAACCCGAAGGGCTTCCGAGCAACTGCCCCAGGGCTTCTAAGCTCTTCCCCGGGAGAGGGCCCTTAAGTGCGCAGAAGAAAAGAAGAGAAGGACGAGAGAGAAGTACGACTGATGATGTGCCAAAGTTTTTCTGGCTTGGGTGACGGAATTACGGAGATATTCGGTCCTTCATCTACCGGGTATGTCACCGTTACAGGGTCGGAGTGCCTTCTGCGCCCCCTAAAGCCCCCAAACCCTAAACCTGCCCTAAAACCCCCAAAGCGCAAAGCCCCCTGAATTATGAGCCTCCCCCTACCCTAGTACCCCTTTTGTTTCCCCAAATAGTGACTAGAATCACCCTTAATGTCGGAAACCCCCAAATACACCCCTGAAGCCCTACGCCCCTAAACCCTAAACCCTAAACCCTAAACCCTAAACCCTAAACCCCAAAATCTGTTGAGGGGGTTGAGGAATCAATAGGGTGTAGAATTGATTTGAAAGGCCTAGTGGGGCCCCACCTGCGGCATCTGCCGGAGCCTCAGCCGGCGGTGAGGGTTTAGGGTTTAGGGTTTAGGGTTTAGGGCTTAGGGTTTAGGGTTTAGGGTTTAGGGTTTAGGGTACGAGTTTATAGGCTCAGTAAAGGATGTCGACGTTCCTACAAGCGTAAACTTTTCAAAGCTCAGGGAAAGCGGCATACAGGAATTCCGCGAATTCATGGACTGGGAGAGTTAAGTGGGTGGTTTGGGGTAGGGGGTTTAGGATTTAGGGTAGAGGGTTTAGGGTTCTTGGTAACCCAGTGGTGCCCTTATGGTTCAAGGTGCCCTTACAACTCTACCAGAAAAGGGTGCCAATACAATGTGGTTGGTCGGCTGCCAAAGTTAAGTGGGTATTCGGGCCTGTTAAGGCCCATCGGGTCACTTTTTCTTCTGTGGGCTCCTTTTAGGGTCTTTAGGGTTTAGGGTTTTCAGGGTTTTAGGGTTTTCAGGGTTTTGGTTGTTTAAGAATTTTGGAGTTTAGGGTTTTGAGGGTGTTTTAAGGTTTTTCGGGATTAGGGGCTTGAAATACGGCCCTAGGGTACCCATGCACGAATTCGAGGAGCATTGAAGGCATCTTGAGAGGTAGGTCGGATCCCGCAGGATGTTGGTGTTCATGACGGTCAAGGCTTCAAGAAAAGGTTATGGCGTGGATGAATATTACCCGCCTTAAGCCGTAAACCCTAAACCCTAAACCCTAAACCCTAAACCCTAAACCCTAAACCCTAAACCCTAAACCCTAAACCCTAAACCCTGATGTAGTTTATCGTCTAAGCATCAGTAGAGTTTCATCCTCGGGTGCCGTTTGGGCCCAAAAACTAAAACTCAAACTCGCAAACCTGAACCCTCAGCTCAACCCTACAGGGTGGGACCCCCTTACTATACTAACTGTAGTTACGGGACTTATAACCTAATTTAGGATCCTTATAACCCAATTTGGGGCTCTTATAACTCTACTTATAACTAGGGGGCCCCACCTTGTAGGCCCTAGGCAACCCTAACCCTTCAAGTCCCAAGCCCCTGAACACATTGGGTTTAGGGTTTGGGGTTTGCGGTTTAGTGGGTTGTGGGTTTAGGGTTTAGGGTTTCGGGTTTCGGGTTTAGCCGGGATTTGGGGTTTGTTTCCCACAGACACAGGTTCGAGCCCCCAAAGACCCACACATGGAATCCTTCCGTCTGAGGTGTGCCAGGGTGCCCGGCCCCATTCTGAGCCAGGTGCCAGGCGCATGAGAGCGCATGGCTTGTTTAGGGTTCCCAGGACCCTAAACCCTAAACCCTAAACCCTAAACCCTAAACCCTAAACCCTAAACCCTAAACCCAGGACAACGGGGGACCCTTAAAAGGGAACCCTTCTGAGCCCTCTTCTGGCTCTCTTAAAGACCTAAGGAACCGTGTTGAGAAGGTCTCTCTCCCCCAAGGGACCCCCTAATCCTATCCCCCCTACAAGGTGGGGCCCCCTTAGTTATAAGTAGAGTTATAAGAGCCCCAAATTGGGTTATAAGGATCCTAAATTAGGTTATAAGTCCCTTAACTACAGTTAGTATAGTAAGGGGGCTCCACCCTGTAGGTTTGTAAGTCTTGGATTTATGAGGGCTCAGCCCCTTGCAGAGTTTGCGGGGCTTGTGGGGTGCACGAATCCCCCTAAAACCCGAGACCCAAATCCCTTAAACCCTTGAACCCTTAAACGGCATTTCTAGGGCTCTTGGGGCTTTTAGGGTCTTGGGGACTCAAAGAGTCGAAGGGGGCTTCTAGGTCTTGTAGATGTGTAGGGCTTCATAGGGTCCTTACTTGGAGGTCACGGTGGTAGAAATGTCCGGGTTTAGGGTTTCGGGTTTAGGGAGGTGGGTTTCGAGATAGGCATTGTTCTTCCACATTAGAAGAAACCCCAAAATCCCTAAGACCCCAAAACCCCAAAGCTTCAGACCTTAACCCGCAACAGAAACCCCAAAACCCCACAACCCTAGACCCCAAAACTCTGCCTCCACATCCCCAAAACTCTAAACCCCCAAAGCCCAAAACCTCCAACCCTCAGCCCTAAACCCTAAACCCTAAACCCGAAACCCTAAACCCTAAACCCTAAACCCTAAACCCTAAACCCTAAACCCTAAACCCTAAACCCCACCCTTAAACCCCTAAACCTTCGGAGCCCCGCAGGGTCCTCGATCCTGGACTCAAGAGTCGATGATGGCGAGGCGAGAGGGGGGGGAGTCGTTCGGGGAGGCATCTTAGGGTTTAGGGTTTAGGGTTTAGGGTTTAGGGTTCAGGGTTTCGGGTTTAGGGTTTAGAAGGGTTTAGGGTTTAGGGTTTGGTTGGGGTGAGGGTTGTAGATCTTGGGGTTGAGGCTTTAAAGGGTGTCAGGGTATTAGGTATTGGGTCAGCAGGCTCAGCGAAGCCCCCCAGCCCTACCCTATCACCTCAAAAGGAGGTCAGTTGCAGAGGTCTCTAGATCTGCAAGAACAGTCCCTTTAAACACCCTGAAAAATTGATATTTTTTTTTTTTTTTTTTGGGGGGGGGGGGGGGGGGCAGGGGTGGGTCAATGCCAAACCCTATACAGGTTATAAGAGAAGCCCTTTTGTAGGCTTCCTTCAGGCTTTTCTGGGACCGTTGCACCCGAACCATACCCCATCGCCCCCAAGCCCTAGACGCCAAATCCCGAATCCACAGCCCTAAACCCAGAACCCTAAACCCTAAACTTAGGGTTTAGGGTCTAGGGTCTAGGGTCTAGGGTTTAGGGTTTAGGGTTTCGCCGTATAGAACCCACAAGCACTAAATCCCAACATCCTTAGCCCCTAAACCCCCCTAAGCCTGACACACTGGGCCTGAGATCCCCAACGTGTCTATGGGTTGTATACTTGGTAGACTCCAGATGTGGCGGGAGGGGGGGGGGGGGGGGGGTTGGGTTTAGGGTTTAGGGTTTAGGGTTCAGGGTTTAGGGTTTAGGGTTTAGGGTTCAGGGTTTAGGGTTTAGGGTTCAGGTTTCAGGGTTCAGGGTTCAGGGTTCAGGGTTTGGGGTTTAGGGTTTAGGGTAGGGCCGCTCTCTCCCCCCAGCAGGCTCGCAAGAGGCGGATTGCGAACTCCCACATTTTGCGGGAGGACGGCCACGTGGCGACGTTTGGGGCAAGCCCTTGCTTAGCTCCGCTTTAAGAATTCAACAAGGCATGTCCCAAGCACACAAGATGTTTTTTGGGCGTAAGAAAATAGCCTCAAACCCATGAAAAGGGCCGTGATGTTACGCATCTTGGGGTTTGTAGACTCTGATGGACCACTCCCCATGTAGTCTAGGACCAGAGAAGGCCCTTGGTTCCTCTTTCTTTTAGGGCCTCCCGTATACGCCCTTCTAACGTCAAGAAGGGCACCCTTTTTTTAATCCCTGGGGGATTGAAACCTGAACCTAATCCCTAATCCCTGAACCTTAAGCCCTAAACCCCAAACCCCAAACCCCAAACCCCAAACCCTAAACCCTAAACCCTAAACCCTAAACCCTAAACCCTAAACCCTAAACCCTAAACCCTAAACCCTACACCTAAACCCTAAACCCTAAACCCTAAACCCTAAACCCTAAACCCTAAACCCTAAACCCTAAACCCCCCTAAAAAACCCTAAACCCTAAACCCTAAAAACCCTAAACCCTAAACCCTAAACCCTAAACCCTAAACCCTAAACCCTAAACCCTAAACCCTAAACCCTAAACCCTAAACCCTAAACCCTAAACCCTAAACCCTACCTACAACAGTTGCACAGTCTTTAGCTCCATGCCCGCCATGCCCAAGTTCGTGCGCTCCACGAGTAAGTAACCTAAAACCTGGAAGCCGTGAGCCTCCAGGGTTTAGGGTTTAGGGTTCAGGATTTAGGGTTTAGGATATAGGGTTTAGGATTTAGGGTTTAGGATTTAGGGTTTAGGATTTAGTTCGCCCAAGGCGCTTGGGACCTCAAAGCCCCATGACATGAGATGCCAGAACCCTCCATAGAAGGTACCAGTTCCTCTGTAGGAGGGTCCTTGGAGCCTCAGGGGGTTTTGGGGTTTAGGGGTTAGGGTTCAGGGGGGTAGCTGCGAGCTTTTTCCTGCAACCCCTTCTTGAGAAACCTGCAGACTTGCCCTTTTCGGTGAAAGATTAGGGTTCTCAACAACACAAACTGAGGAAAAAAGGTTTCGGGTTTAGGGTTCAATTAGGTTTTAGGGTTTTAGGGTTTAGGGAACCCCAAAGAAACAAATGTCCTACGACAATCTACAGTGCCTGCACGCCTCCTGCTTGAGACATACCTGACCAGGCATCGTTGAGACGGTGCTTGTTGCATGGCATGCGAAGCATGCACAGTTTGCGAGAAATCTTCATTTGAATGCGGAAGGAAGAGGGTATAAGTGCCCAGCCTAGATATGTCTGTAGTAAGCATTGGCTTTACTAGGGTCTCGCAGTGCGATTCAACTCCAGTTCTTCTTTTGCCGAGCCATCTCAAGCCCCCAAAACCCTAAACCCTAAACCCTAAACCCTGAACATGATTCGTGCAGCCGAAGGTATGTTCAGTCCTTCTGCCCAGATATGACAGTTCCGCGGGCTGGGTCCAATGTTTGGACGCACATCTTCCGACTAGGCCTCAGGGTTTAGCATTCAGGGTTTAGGGTTTAGGGTTGAGGTTTTACCTGAAGTGAGAAGAGATTTCTGTTGGACCCGACCGATGCCGTCGGCCGGTAGCTTCTCAGGCAGCATGCATCAGCAATTTCGGTGCATGAGCCCTGCTTCCTGGAGTGCGTCCGCCGTCTTCTACAGGTGAGGCTCTTGGCAAAGCCAGGAGGACACAACGCTGCAGCGATGATCCTCGGCAGAAGTATATCCTTTGTACAACCATGGGGACTTAGGGGTTGGGGTTTAGGGGGTATAGGGTTTAGGGGGCGCCCCCTCAATCCCAAAGCCATAACGAGTTGGGGCGAGCTGGTACTGTGGGACACAGGCCCTGCTGAACTTTAAATCCGGGAGCACCGCCTGGCTGTTTTCAGTAGCGATGCTCGGAATGACGATGCAGCTCGAAACCTTTCCGGATAGCTTAAGGCCATAGGAAATAGTAATAATAGGGTTTAGGGTTTAGGGTTTAGGGTTTAGGGTTTAGGGGATAACCCTAAAACCCGAACCCCCCAAAAGGCCCGCATCCCTACGGCCCAAACTCGAAACCCTCAACACCCGGCTCCACGCAGCAGCGTGCAAGCCGGCAGGAGATGTTGTAGGCCAACCCAGCTCAGTTCTGTTGTCAGCTTTAGGGTTTAGGGTTTGGGGTTTGGGGTTTGGCGAACGAACACGTAAAACCTCTGCCCCCCTATTCTGACAAGCTGCCTAGCTACGTCACGGGCCTCGAAAGGTTCCGAAGTTTTCAGGTAGGGTTTAGGGTTTAGGGTTTAGTAGGGGGTTTAGCAAGCCTACAGTAAACTCAAATCCACATGAACCTCCCCGAAACCGAAAACCCGTGCCCGTAAACCCTTAAAGCTATGAAGCTCTATAAACCCTTAATCCTTAAAAGACTTAGTAACCGCAAGCCCTAAACCCTAAACCCCTAAACCCTAGACCCTAAACCCTAAACCCTAAACGAACCTGACCCCCACCCGCACGGACTCGAGAGAGCAGAGGACGGGCCGCCCCTGGGAAGTTGGCATGGCGCCTGGCAGCTCCGCGCCCCTCCGCCGGGGATTAGGGTTTAGGGTTAGGGTTTAGGGTTTAGGGTTTAGGGTTTAGGGTTTAGGGTTTAGGGTTTAGGGTTTAGGGTTTAGGGGTTTCGGGAGGGTAGGGTTTAGGGTCCAAGGTTCAGGGCTTTAGGGTTTCTTCGTAGCCCAGCGGTGCTCTTTTTACGGCCTGTGCATCACTGTGTTATGCATGCTTCCTCCAGGGTTTAGGGTTCAGGGGAAACCCGAAACCCTGCTTATGGGCCATGGATCGAAGCTGTGGACACAGTTGGTTCCGAGGCTTTGATTGTTCTGAGATCTGTACTGATACACCGGCACGAAATGGGGAGTTTAGTTTTTTGGAGGGGAAGCGGCACTTGGAGTCTAGGGCGGACTCATGTCTAAACCCAAACCCCAAACCCTAACCCTGAACCCTAAACCCTAAACTACAGACCCTACCCTAAAACTCCCGATCCTAAGCCCATGAGGGCCCCTGCTTCTGAGGCCAATCCGTCGGTGGGTCCCTGACTACTGGATGGCGGCTGAAAGCGCCAACAAAGAGCCAGTGCATGTGTTGCAGCGCTTGGCTGCAATCGTCGCTCTCAACCAGCATTGTAAAGCACACTTTGTGCACACACCGCGCCGAAACCAGAAACCTAAACCCCCTCGCAGCCCGAAGCCACACCGTGTTTGAAAAGATTCATCCTAAAGTCGGCATCTAAGTGGTCAAGTTTTTCAAACTTCTCGTTGCTTCTAGATTCTAGATCTGCTTGTCACTGACAATGCTGTGAGCGCTATAGCATCAACGAAAGTACCGAAGGGGCTGCCTTTCCATGGTTGCTTGGCACAGTTTTCGTGCATGCCGTTTTGTGCGCGTTCGTTTTCAACGGATGCGCTACCGAGGAACCAGCAATCTGCAAATCCAGAACCCTGCTTGCTCCGAGCAAGGCCTCGATTAAAAAAGAATAGAGTATGCACTGCCTTTCAGTATCGGTTACCAAAACCCCGCCCCCCCACCCCCCCACCCCCCACCCCCCCCCCCCCCCACCCCCCCCCCCCCACCCCCCCCCCCCCCCCCCCCCTTCTCCACACTTGTTTCAGCACCTAAGGACCTAAGCATTATAGGGGGGTTTTTAATCGAGGGCGGAGGGGGGGAACTACTCCCCACTACTCCCTAAGGCTCCCTAAGCTTCCCTAAGGTTCCCCAGGTACCTACCCAACCAGGCCGGAGGATACACTTTTGACAACAGCGCATCCTTTGAGAAGACCTGTGTGCACTGCTGCTTTGGCAGGTTTTGGGCCTATAGCGGCAGGTAGGCACATGCTGCCTGGATCGGCGACTCCCCTTTACCAAAAGCAGTTTAAACGCTCGAGATGCCAAATTTTGTCCGTGGAAAACAAAGGCTCCTGCGCGCGCTTGCCTGGCTCTGCACCCTAAACCCTAAACCCTGAACCCTACACAACCCGGCAGACCCTGCCAGCCCTGTCAATCCTAAACCCTCTCAACCCTAAACCCTCAATAGGACCGCAAACGCCA